AGATTGTGAGTCTGGGTACCTGAAGGATGGTGGTTCTCTCAACAAAAATAGGGACATGTGGAAGTTGGGGAGGAAAGATAAGTTGTGATTATCTAACACTGAGTTTAAGATGGCTGTCAGACAAGTACAGTCTGAAATATTCAACAGGCAGTTCACGATGGGGGTCCTGAATCTCAATAGAGTACCTGGGGCTGTATATTTACAGATGTGGGAGTCCTTCCTAGAGATATCTGGTCATTCAAACCATGGGAGATGATGAGGAAAACCTAGAGAGGAGAGCATATAGCCAGGAGTAGGGGATGGTGAACAGTTTCAAATACTTCAGAGATCAAGTGAAAGCATGTATTGAGACCTGAAGGAAGATTGGGAAGAAGTCTTTTGGCTTGGCAAACAGATCATCTGCAGCTCTGGTTTGTGCTTAAGAGGAAGGGCAGAGGCATGGGTGTAGACAGCTTTTACTAGAAGTTTGCTTATGAAAGGGAGAAAAGAGAAAGTACACATAGCTTTCAGGGATGCTGGGGGCAAGGAAATTTTTTTTTCCCTCTTGAAGGGGAGGAGAGTAAAATACATTGTAGACAGGAGACAGTGAAATGTAAGAGAGAGGGAGGACTGGTTTTGAAGGGAAGGGTTACCTCTTCATCAGAGATTAGAACTGAAGCAAAGGAGGAGAGACGAGAGGATTTAGAGTCAGAAGATATTCTAGCTCATTTTTTAGAGCAGGAAATTCAGGCCTTAAAGTAAAGTAACTCATTCAAGGTCACATAGCAGGTAGTAGTCAACAGAACTTGGATCTGTACCTCAGTTTTTAATTTAACTATACTGTTCTATCTAAGTAAAACCACATTACTATTGTCTGGCATAATATCAAAAAGGAAATCAAGTTCTTTTACCACCAAGAAATCTTCATGCCCCAAAGATGTAAACTGCTGCAATGTATACTACTAACTGAGAAAGAAGCATATCAAGGGTAGGCCAGCCAAGAAAAAAAGGGAAAGAAGTGCTGGGAGAAGCCACGGATCCTTTTTTTTTTTTTACTGGCAGATACCAGAGGCAGAAAGAAGACCAAACTGTGAAGGGTTTACATAAACAGGGGGCCTGGTGCATATCTCAGCATTCCCTGTACTGGAAACTTTTTTCTTTCTTTCTTATTTTTGGTTTGTTTTTGCTTTTTGGTGAGGTAAAGGGGTTCAGTGACTTCCCCAGGGTCACACAGCTAGGAAGTGTCAAGTGTCTCAGGTTGCACTGGAACTCAGGTCCTCCTGACTCCAAGTCCAGAGCTCTATCCACTCTACCATCTAGCTGCTCTTGGAAACTCTTTTTAAACTACTATGTTTTTAAGGTTCAAAGTCATCCATCACCTCACAGTTCTTTCTACTAATCTTTCCCACTCCTATCATACTGACCCGGCAATTATGAGCTGTGTGAAGGCCAGGAGATGAGAAAGACAGACATATCTAAGGAGTAGGAAGAAAAATATCGGAACCATCAGAACTAGTTTACATCTGTGCCCTTTCCTTCTGCTGTTTCTAGATCTGGGGACCTGGTTAGTGACTAAGCCAGCTAGACAAATTTGTGCCCATTCCTTTTCATTAGCAGTCTCCTTTGAATTTTGTGATATACACCATAAGGTTTGGATTGAAAACGTGAAAGAATATTTCTAGAATTCTTTATTTACCTACCTTGTTTTTTTCTGAATTTTCTGCTACTGTCTTCAGATGAGCAGAAAGAAACTTAAGGGTTTCGTAATGATGTTCAGGCAAATCATGAATCTGTAAAAACATCATTTCAGTGATAGATTTAAAACTCGTAAAACTTTCTGTTGTCGTCCCCAAACTCACCAATAATACTCACTAGTCTTTTTAATGTTTTAAGACGCTCCAGGGGATCTTCTTTCCGAATGGCTGCAATAAAGTCCTCGTATTTATCTGGCAACAGAAAGACATTTTTTTCTCAACTGATTAGGCGAAATGTATCCTTCGTATTGCCAACAAAATAACAGGTATTTCTTTAGAGAAAAAGAGTGGGTCTGAAGTAGGTTTAAAATTTAGGCCTCCAAAATAGCATCAATTTGAATGAGAACTATGTTCAAGTAACTTAGAGTGCAAAAGTTCCATGAAAGCAGAAACTTTGCCTTCACCATAACTCTCCTTTTCCTGCCCTCAATACCAACCACAACATCATCTCTATCTCTATGTATAGCTTTATTAATACGTGTGTGTGACATGCTCAGCAAGGATTTGTTGATTGACTAAAAACATGTAAATAAAGGTCATGTACACTAACATGTTTAAAGATTCTGTCTGGGGAGAGTAAGAAATGTTATTCTGAGCCAGAAATAAGGAGGAGCCCAACAATGTAGCTTGGCTGAATGTCAATAAACTTGTTTCCATGGATTCTAAATAGCGAAATTTACCACCCCCCCCAAATCCCAGTTTACTACCAGAGAACTTTACTTTCTTTATACTTTTCTTTAAATTAAAACATAGGGGTAGGACAATTAAACTGATTTTACAGAAGATAACTTACCATTTGTGAAGAGAGGCTCAGGGAGTTTTCTGAAGAACAGTTTCAGCAGACTGCTGATAACATTCAAGTCTTGCCATTTCTAGGCATGCAGAAGGGAAATATGTAATATGTCACAGTCACCATAACATTCTGAAACATGAAAATGAATGAATGAACTTACATCATCCTGTAGATTGATGTCAGCCATTCCTTTGCTGAGTTCTTCTTGCATCCTATAGATGGCAGCATGATTTCCAGGAACTCTATAAATCCCTGTATGGTGAAGTCCTCTTTCCTTAATTAACTGGCAGCAGATCTCAACTATGCGTGGAATGTACTACAAAACAAAAAGAGATCATTCTTATTTTTAGAGGCCTCACATGATCATATTAAGCTATTATTTATCTCTACATAAAATATGTTTCTCAAAAAAAAGATTTGCTCTTTAGGTCATGTGGAGAATCAAAAGAATAGTGAGTTCGGTTGTAGCTGAGTTAAACATATTTGGACTGCTGAGATGGAAATGAGGATGGAAGAGGGGAAAGAGTTATCTGACAGAGTAATTGGTGTGGGAGTCTGGAAGATTTAGTTTCAGAATCCTGCCTTCAGCATTTATTAGCTGTGAGAATGGTGGGCCAGTGACTTCCCTCTGCCAAGACCCAGTTTCCATGAAAAGGGTCTAATGATGACTGCAGCATCTTTTTCACAGGGTTGTTATTGTAAAGCTTTGTAAGTCTTCAAGTGCCAAATATGGTTGTTCTGATGACTGTCAAACGACTGGATATGTTCTGGCTGGGCAAAGAACACTACAAGTCAGGCAATTAGCTCACGAACAGAGTATGGGAATGCAAATTGCTCTTAAAGAAGGTCAACTTTACTTCAGACTTGAAATCTAGCTTTTTACACACCTCTCCCAAACACATATTGATTTAATGTCTCAAAAAAGATATTGGCCTGCCAGCTGTTTTCTAAACTTGGCCTCTTGTTGAGGGCAGAGACTAACCAGGGGACTGGCAGGGACAGGGGGCGGGGTTTAATGGAGAGAGGTAGCTGCTCAAATGAGGCTTGCAGGAAGAACAGGACTTCCAGAGGTTCACTTAGGGATGTCACTCTGGCTTGAGTGAACAGATGCTCGTAGCACATCAAACTTCAATTTGGGGATACAAAGTTAGTATACGTCTATACGGAGCACAATCCTAATAAAGTTTCAGAAAACAACAGGCAGGCTTCCAGAAATGATAGTGTCTTTAATGTAATCCATCTTTGTGGTAACTAATGGCTAAAAAGGGTAGCGAATGCAATATTCTGCTGCTTCTTGACTATCCAAACTGTTTCCATTTGAATTGTCTTAGGAAGATTCTGAAGATCACCTGGCAAGATAAGGTACCCAGCAACTGATGTCCTCTCTGAGGCTGACCTGCCAAGCATTCAAATCCTACTGCAGAGAGCACAGCTCCCATGGGCTGGCCACATTGTGCGAATGACTACCATATGTTTGCCGGAAAGACTATTTGATGGAGAACTAGCACAAGGCAAATGCTCACGCACAGGTTAGAAGAAGCAGTACAAGGACACTCTCAAGGTTTCTCAGAAGAACTTTACTATCAATTGTGAGACATGGGAGATGTTGGCACAGGACTGCCCAGCCTGGTATGCCCGCATCCAGCATGGCACTAGGCTCTCCATGAGCCAAGCAGAAATGCAGGAGCACAAGGGAAACGTGACATGTGTGCGTTTAGAGATATCTCCACCCCAAATGTTCAAATGGACTGTTTGTTCCCAGTCTGTGGTAGAGCCTTCCAAACCCATATTGGATTGATGAGCCACAGTCAAATACACTGTCCCTTGACACCAACATTGGGATGTCATTGGTCCTCCTTGAGTACAAAGGTGGAAACAACAATAAAAACCATTTGACCAACTATCTTCTCTAATGTTGTTTCCCACATCTGCATCAAAATCATCCAGGATTCCGTGAAAGATTTCTCAGGGATAACTTTGTTCAACTTTGGATTAGTAATTTCAAGGGAAGCATAAGACAGACAGATGTGTGCTTGCTCGAGGAGTTCGGCATTGTCATGAAGTACAAGAAAAGAAAGTGGTGGTATTGGTGGTGAGGTCCTCCAGATGCTCTTGTCCAAAGACGGCACTGAGCCGAATGAAATTTCCATGTCTTTATACAGAACCTCCTAAGTGAGATCTCTACTCTCTCCAGAAAGTAGGCCTAATACTCCATACAGGAAACACTGAGTCGAAGAAGTAGAATGTCTCCTGGAGACTGCAATATGCATTTGGATGGTCAACCTGGAGAACTAGCCTATCAGTACATTGATCTTAGATATTCTAAGAGGACAATGAGCTGACCCCAGAATTGAGCAGAAGCAGAGCAGGCTGGATTGCCTTTGCAAAACCGGACAGTTTTTAATAACCTCAGATATTCCCCTGAAATAAAATCTCATCATTTTAACATCAACATTAACATCAACAGCAAAGACCATAATTTCATGCAGAAATTAAATCAAAGTAAATGATAGAGCTCGGCAGAAAGTCTCTTAGTCAGCAAACATCTGCCTTGATAGCCAAATGTTGAGAGATGGCTCCTGAAGCCAACACCAAGTTAGAGTATAAACTCATTAGTAAAATCTTTTTTAAGAAAAGGATGGCAGATGATTACTGTCAGCTTTGTCTCGTAAACCAAAGGAGAGTCACTAGACAGTAACACCTATCTAAAACATATTACAATTAACTATTTCATCCATCAAGGACACTGGGATCACCCCACCTGGAGCTTAACATCACAATCTCCAAGACATAGAAGAAGTAGAAAAGGCTTTAATGAGAAAGTAGGAAAAGTAGTCCTACTGGGACAAGTATGTCATTAATAGGGGATGTTGGTGGTGATGATATCAATTTCTAAGGATGTTTGTTGAGTGGTGGTTTTTAAGGTATCTAAGGAATGGGGTATGGACAAAATCTCACTCTGATGAAAGGTATTAGGCAACATGAGGGTTTTCACAAACGATATCTGACAGTGGAGCACATCTCAAAATTAACTGAAATTCATAGAGAAGATAATATCTTATTAACAAACATAATGTTTATTAATTATGAAAAAACATTTGACTCATGAAAGCAAAATGCTGTCTTCCAGGCTCTTTTCCAACAAGGTGTCTCCCACCGAGACACCATCCTCATTTTATTTTATTGACAGCTTAAATCACTTTATTTAATCACCCTCTGATCAAAAGCATCCAGTGAGGCATAAAACTGGAGATATGTGCTAGTGAATTGAGCAAGTTCAGCGTAGAGTCAAGGGGGAAAAGGGACCCGCTGTGGATGCTGAGAGGTTCTACACATGGTCCTGTTTGTAGATGACATCCTGTTCATTGCCTCAAGCCACAAGACATTGCAGAGCCTCCTGCAAGAGATCTGCAATCCCTCAAAGGAGTTTGGCCTGACCATCTGTGCAGGGAAGACCAAATGGATGCCCAGACGCCAACATGTGTCTGAATGGACACCTACTGCATCTGTCCAATGGGACCTATATCTGGGTCCAGAGATGAAGAGGAGGATGAGAGCAGCTGGACTGCTCTTGGAAAACCGCAAAACCTTTTTGAACAACCCCAGGCTTCCAAGTTAAGGAACATCCAAAGGTCAATAGAGAAGTGTAGGTTGGGCACAAGGAGGTTACCCATTACAAAAAGGAAATTATGTACACATTAAGAATGTCATGGAAAAAAACATGACACACAAAAAGATGAGGTGGTCACTGAAGTGAGGGCAAGGGATTACCAATGCATACCTTGTACCTCCAGTGGGAGCTACAAAATGTCAAGAGAATAAAAAGTAAGGCCCCTGTCATGGGTGCACACCCTTGCCAGGGGCCAATTTACGGAAGACATGGACAACCATCAGAGATTGTTCCCCATATCACTGGAGGGGGGCACCCACACTGATGAGGTTACAGATGCTTTGGACGATTAGGGTACAAGCAAGGCTTTTGTCTCCTACCGGATTCGTGTGAGCTGGCAGGCAGTCACCAAGGGTGACCCCAAAGGTTCCTACAGGCTTTTTCGGAAGTGTTTTGTTCTTAACGTTTGCAATGCCTTTTCTCCACGTGCCTTCTGGAGGACTGGTGTCATCTTTGGTTATTGTTGAAAACAAGGAGGTCATACATTGGGGGAAAAAAGAGGGGAAACAAAATGTTTGAATCATAATTGAAATACATGGACTATGTTGGCTTAAATGGGATCCCTTTAACATAAAAAAGCACCAATTAACAATGTTTCAGTTCATCCTAATCCACCTCTTGTCTTTCATTACCAAATGGAAATTATTTTCTTCCATGTATTTTAAAATACACGGAGAGTTGTTTTTCATCCCTTTACAATGCGAATTAACGCTGAAGTTTTCAATGAAAAAAATTACACAAATGTTCACAAAGTCCCTATTATAACTAAGGTAACTGTGCTAGAAATACAGAGAAAGATTCTTGAAATATTCTAGATCCATGATCTTCTACTACAACATCTTTAAGTTTTTAATACTCCAGTCTTTATCTATACACACACGCATGCACATATATGCGTGAGTACATGTGTTGACAGTCTGATCTCTTTTTTCTTGGACTAGATGTGTAATACTATCAGCAGATGGAGCTCATTCTAGAAATACAGATTCCTGCTCAGAGAGAGGCTTCTAGCCCTCAGAGGTTAAGAGTCACACAATCAAGGTCACACAATCTCTATGGGCCAGGGGGAAGATTTGAATTCAAGGTTTTTACTGATTCTGAGGCCAGCTTTCTACCTGTTATTCCAGGCTACCTCCCATTCTTGTATCTAAACAAAAAAATAAAGAGCTGGATAATATGCCTGGGGGCTTTCAGATTTCCACTCCAGATAATATGAGCCCTGTGTTTTCCTGCTAAGGAGGCCTTCGTGAGAGTTTCTTAAAGGAATATTTAAATGATTAGTGCTGGTAGTAATGAATCTTGTTAAGAAAAGATGGAGCCTGAGATGACTCAATTCCAAAGCGGGCCTCTTTAAGTACCACGGTAGCCCATCTAATTTATGTCTATGTGTGTAACATGCGAAGTTCTTCATACTGTACAGGTTTAATTTCTGTATCAAACAATGGGTGTTAGAACTGAATTTTGTACTTGCAGTTTTAAGGAATACATTTTGCTTGCTTTTAAATATTTTAATATATAGACTATCAAGCTACATCTTTTGAGCCCAAGCCTGAAAGGGAAAGTACCCCCAGGTTTGTGGCCCTTATAAGCCAGATAAACCCAACCACTGCCGGTTAGCAAAAAACAATATTTAAGGAAGAAATTTCAAAGTTAAAATAGGTTTAGAACTTCATATTCTAAGTAGTCTTAATCACCAAATGTGTCAAATCTCTCCAATAAAAACAGGCACCTTTACTGAGGAGTTTTCTTTCTGACTCTTCTTTGGGGGAGTGTGGACTCTGAAATTTTGGTTCTGCTTTAGCACCAAGCAAAGTCTGCCTGATACTGAGACTCTGGCAAGGTATTTTTGACAACTGGTCTGCTTTGCTGAAGGAAGAAGAGGTAGAATTGGCTCTAGGCCTTTCTTAATTTATACTTACCATGGTCGTGTGACAGCTGACAGCAAATTAAAGGGGCTGAACTTGGAAGGCTGGGAGGAATCTGTGCTCTAGTGGGCACATGAGAGGTGGATGCTGAAATGACAGCAGAAGCAGGAATATGTGCCACATCCTGATCAATGCTTGGGCTGGTTGGCTCATCTAGAAAGTAATACAATACATTAACCTGTTAAGTGGTGTCATTAACAGAGCAGAAACTAAAGAATAACTTGTTAGAGTTTCTGGGTACAAATTTTTAAAACTGGATTAGTCAGTCATAAATCAACCTGGGAGTGGAGCAGACTTGATCTCATTTCCCAGCGATATTTTAGTAAAGAGAGGAACCAATGACATTTAAAACTGATTATCACCATTGTAAGATACAGCAACGCAAAACATTAAATTGGACCAAACATGTTCACTGCATACAAAGCAAATACTATACAAGTAATTTAGTTTTGAATCCCCACTTTTATAGTTCAGTTTGAAGAACAACTCAGTACCAACACAGTATATATGTAAGGCCTTTTTAGCTTGGAAAAAAGAATCAGCAATTCAATTAATAAGATGATACTTGAAAAAAAATAAGTGACATTATTCAAGAAAGAATTATAAAACAGTGAGAAGAAATCATAAAATTATTTTGGAATTAGTATTTTCATATACTAAATTAGTTCTTTCATTAACTGATTATATAAGGCATTAAAGTATAGCTCCCCAAACTTTACAAAATCAGAAGGGCTAAATCAAGAACAATACTCCCTTCACCACAATTTCAGAGGTACTACAAACATGTTTTGCAATATTCAAAGAAACCAATAAGAGAAAACTTGATTAAAATTGAATTCTCCTTTGAAGAAGTACCAAAACATACAGTTTTACTTGTCAAGCCTCACTGATTGAGCTTTTCAAATGTTCTGAAGCAATTCATGACTTTGTGCAGCATTTATGTGTTTAGAGACAATGAATATATATACATATGTATATGTTTATGAGTGTGTGTATATATGTATATATGCAGGTGTATATACAGATGTATATATACACACACACAAGTAAACATTTTTCCTCAGTGAAAAAATGAAAGTTCAAATACTAGAAAGTCTTCAGTTTGGGGAAATAATGATATATTACCATAATGAATACACCACAGACGTTTTGATTCAACAGATTACAAAAACCTATTAATCATATAAAAGTCAAAATTATGTTTTTAAATAGAATAAAATTCCAAAAGAAGATGTGACCATGTATGTACTACGTCTCTAAAAACATAAATGCCTCCCAAAATCATGAATGGCTTTAGGATATTAGAATGTCAGGAGACAGCAAAGCTTCACAAATGGAATGATACAGTAATTTGTTTAAAAATCCTTTTTTCTTTAAAAATTTGTAAGCCATGTGAAGTTATAGAAGAACACTGATTATTTCTACTTCCTGGAGGTATAAAGGCTAATCCAGTAGTGTGAAACCCAAACAGAATGGAGGTTATTCATTTTGTTCAATATTTCCCAATTGTACCTTAATCAGGTTCAGGCTGCACTTTGCTGGTGTTTGACCCCTTTGTGCTAATCACTACTTGAACAATTAGCTTTAATAATTCTATTAGGCTGATAACTGCCTTTTTGTCACTTCTGGCCATTAGTACAAGTTGAGAATAAATCAGACATGTCTCCTACATAATCACTTGCCCAACGTTTGAAGGTTGTGTGGCCTCTCAATGTTAAAGGATGTTTTCTTTCCCATCACTTGCAAACTGCTTGTGTGTTTTAAAGAAAAGTCACAATTCTGTGTCCTTCACCAAGAAGCAATGTGCATGGACAGTGGGTGGTATATGCACTGTACAGCACCAAAAATTAAAATGCTGTGAAACATTTCCCAATTACACTTGAATCTGGTTCCAGTTGCCTTTGGGGGGCCTTTGAGGGTGGTACCTCTGGTGTGGAGAGCTCTGAAATTAAGCATCAGAGGTGGGACTTAAATACAATTCTTCTTGCCTCTCTATCCATTACAACACACAAGGTTCTATTTTTTTATATGTATAGTAGTAGCATGATCGTTGATGGTAAACCGCATTAAACACATGTGGTCAGAAAGTCAGTGTCCTTGGAAATGTACTGAAAGAGCCAAAGTTAGTCTAAAGTATTCTCCCACGTAGAACAAAAAGAGCTTGTCAAGAAAGGCTGAAGCAGCTCCAAAGGGCTGCTCTGCCTTGGAGGCTCTATCCATTCATCGACCCTATTGCAGGGAACGGCAGTCAATGCTACATCCTTGATGCAAGGATGGGGTTTGTGAGCCAATTCTAAAGGGTAATGAGAGTCTAAACAGATTCTACATACTCCCTGTAGCTTCAGCTGGATATAATCAATGATGCCAACACAACTCCAGGTTACTCCTGAGGAGCATGGGTTTCATCTTCACGGACGCAGGCAGGATGGGCACATTCCTTCTCGACTCTATGTGGCACTGGGCAAGCAATGACAACTCGACCTCTGTGAGGTCACCAGTCAAATGAGGGCTTTAGGTGAGACCCTCTCTCAGCTCTGCTTCTGCTTTCAACAAGGGAGAAGGCAGGAGATGCTCATGCTTAGATTTCCCTAGTGACCATGACATTGTTCTTTCTTCACTAAAGCATCATAAGACTGTAAAGAACTGCACAAAGCCCAGTACACCACAGAGATGGAACCCTCATCGTGACCCATGAAGCAGCAAACAAGGGCCAGTTGGGGGTGAGGAAGAGGGTGAAAGCCACCCCCTTTTGGCCTCTGGAATTGAGCTCACCCAAAAGCTAGTGGAATAAGTGAGCCCCTGAGGAAAAGATCAAACTGACCAAGGAGAAGGGGTTAAGAGGGAGACCCTTTGGGGCTGGCATCAGCCCCAGCAGGACCAGGCAAGGTGGTCCTGAAACTGCAGTTGGCTAAAGGAATGAAACTTCCCTATGTGCCCGTGCCCTCAAGCTCAGTCCTACCAGTGAGAAGCGGGTAGAGCGGGCAATAAGGGCTCTCAGGGTCCTTGGAGTCAGCATGCCATGCCCAGCCCCTCTGCTCAGGTGTTGCAAATGACTCTGTGGCTTCCATCTTGACTCTGACCCCCAAACCCCAGAGGGCTTCCACTACTAACGGGTGGCCAAGTGGTCTAACTTCTCAAAAGTTCCCCACTTTGAGGGAGGTCCCAAAGTTCCATACGCTTGGCAGGGATGTGCTCAGGGCACTCAGGCTTCACCTATGCAGGAGCCTCTCAGGAGCTGAAATAGACTCTTGTCTTTGGGGGGGAGGGCAGGGTCATGGGGGTCAGTAAGTCTCACCCCAACCCCTGCTCATCAGCTAGACTGGGGAGGGAGAACTTATTAAACACTGAGTTAAAAAACAATCTTTGGTGTGAAGAAACATGACCCACAAATAGGGTTTTCCGGTAAAACCAATTTCACTGGAGCAAAATCTGCAGTGGTCCATCTGCAGAGAAGGCACTGGGATGGGCCACAGTTTACTCTTATCAAGTCCAGAGAAAATTTCTCTACTACCACCAGTCTTACAGAAACAAATGATCCTATATCCACGGAAAATTTCCTAGTGCGTTGTACCCTTTCTAGACAACACTTTGTGGAAATGTGGTACGTACTCTCAATTGAGAAAGGCACCTTCCTTCAAGCATTGTCTAATTAACCATTTCTGCTCTTTTAATCAAACTTTCCTTCAGTTAATTCTGGATCAATTTGAACAAACACACAAGTAGTGTTTTGCTGGTACTGTTATGCTCCCCTATTGAAGGTAGATGAGTTTTTATGGTTTGTGACTTATTCATTTTCCCCTTTTTGTACTTAGTGGATATAAAAACATTTGTTCAATTTGACCTGCAAAATATTCTGAAAAAGGTTTCTCAAGCCTTACCTCTGCGCTTTCTCTTCCGGGTAAATAAACGCTTAATACCATTAAACACTCTCATACATCTAGTGAGCTTCATAATAGCAGCTCACCTAAGCCTTCAGATATCTGAAAACAACTGCACAGTTATTCAGAGTCAACATCTGTTGCCATGACACAGTTAGAACAGAACGAAGAGTCACAAAGGTGGGGTAGAATGCCAAAGGTCATCTAACCACCAAACAGCAACAGCAGGTCTGAGACTTGACCGCTATTCTTGTGATGCCAAGTCCAGCAACTTTTCCCACCATGTTACAGGCACTAAAGGTCTTCCCCTCTGATGCTTTATCATGATGGAGGTGACCCTTTGTTCTCTGGCTGGGCCTATCAGATTGGAAGGTTTTGAATAAAGTTCATGTGATTTTTCTTCTGATGACTAGTGTAGAGGCTCTTAAACTCACTCTCTCCACCTGCACTAGATTATTAGGTTGGGTCCCGAGGGATAACTGCTCGTTCTACCCTCAGGATTTCAAGAGTAATCCTCAGGAATTGTGGCTCACAAGCCAGGGTGTTTCATCTTGCCCATATCAAATGGTCGATTAACATTCATTCATTTTTATCCAAGGATATTTACTGATAAGTTATAGAAAGGACCAAAATATAACATCTTACCCCCGTTTGGCCCCCCCAAAAGTCCTGCCCTCTGTCTTCTGCATATCTACTCAGCTTCTGGGAAGATTAGATTCAAAACTTGTAAGCACTGAAGTATTGACATGAGCAGCCTGAATTCAGAGAGGCTCATCACCAAACCACTGGCCACCAGCACGTGACAGTTTTTGGTCACAATGATTTATTAAACAACACCTTAGCTCATTTGTACAGGGATCCCAAAAGACTCCTTGGATTCCTGGTAGACAGCTCTACAGCTTACAAAGCTCCCTGTATATAGAGGGAGTCCCAGAAGTCTCCATACACTTTTAATCTTTAATAGACATAGATCTTCAACCTTAAAATGGAGACTTTGGGGATGGGCTGTATGATCCAGTGTGTGCCCACAGTAACCAGGGTGGGCTCCTAAGGCAAGATCTTTACCCCACCCCCACTTTAGAGCTGCAGGGATGAATCCTGAGAGAGGGTCTTTGCCGACACACATCCAGGCAGGAGAGCAGGAGTGCCAGGACATTCAGAGAGCGAGGCCTTTTTCATTCTGAACCCAGGTTTTCTTTCCATTGCATTTCCATTGCCTCAGGGGGACCTGAGTTCAGATCCAGCCTCAGACACCCACTAGTTGTGTGACCTAGGGCAAGTCATTTAACCCAGATCACTTCAGCAAAAAGTAAACAAGAAAAAAGAAAGAAAAACTATATGGGCTAGCTATTTAGACTTGCCCCTTGCCGTGAAAATCAGGTTGACCAAAAGGCTTTTAGGAGAGCTTTTGGCACACTAGGGCTAAAACGGATCTATAACCAATGCAGAGCCTAAACTGAGCTCCAACACTACAGATCCCTTAAGATTTCTGTTCAATTAAAAGGGGGGAGGGGGACAGGCACTCCTAATGTAGATAGAGAGCAGTCCATGACTTAGTGCGGAAGTTCTTAAGGAATTGTTTAGGCACCAAGGGATTAAGGTAGATCCCTAGGGTCACCTGACCCTAAGGCTTCCTGACAGCAAGCCCGAGTCCCAGTGCCAGGCTGACTCTCATGTGTTGTGTAGCTCATCAATTCGGTGTGAAATGTTCAGCAAAACTAAATCATAACCGCTAATGCTACCTCCTTGAGCTTTGCTTTGTTTGGTTATCTCATGAGACCTACAGTATCTCCACCGCAAATTCCATTTGACTTCTGTAGACGTCCATGCTACTTGCCTTTACCCATTTGTTGCTGCTTATCCTTCACTCTCAAAGAGGACCAATGACATCAGGAGGGTGATGTCTTGACTTGCAAGTCCCACTCTCGGCTACACTCTCTAGACTCCATCTCCTTCTCCTCATATATTTGGATCACATTCCCACAATGAGAAATCTCCCACTGGGGCCCTCCTCGCCTCATTGGTGACTCTTTCCATTGACCACCATTCTGGAAAGGACCTCAGCCATACCTCTTCTCATTCTGGCCTTAGCATTCCTCAGACTCCACCCTCTCCCCGAATTCGTAGTTACCTCACTCCCTTTCCAGCTGCTCTAAACAGGGCTTCGTAAAGTTCTTCCAGGCTTAGTTCCTTTTCCATGTTGTGGTTGCATGATCTGAGGGCGTGTGCAGTGCAAAGTTCACGTGCTTTGTGTTCAAAACCAAGGCTTCCATGTAATATGGGCAAGCAAGAGTGGCCAGAGACACCTCGAATTCATCACACATTTGATTTTGAATCATTTTTGGTCGTTGCACATTCAGAAACCTTTTACTGTTGGCAAATTTTCCATGACCCCCATAGGGGGTCACGATCCACAGTGTAAGGAGCGCTGTAGGCCTATATGTATTGTGTTTTCCTGTTAAAATGTAAAGTCTTGAGGGCAGAGACTGTCTTGTTTCCATCTATATCTAGTGCTTAGCCCAGCTTAGTGCATATGAAGTACTTACTGAATACTTTGTCCTTCCTTACCTGTCTAGCCTGTATCCTTTGGCACTGGGCCACAACAAATAAGCATTCTTGTTGCTTCAAGGCTTCACATTCTCAGAACAGCCTACATTCAATGTACATTTTGATCACCTTTTGAATGATGAAAGGCATCAGAAATCATCTCTATCTCCAAGCCCATGCTGTATCCTCGTGATGACTCAGATGTTAACTCATGTCACTAGAGGGAAGACGGCACACAGAAAATCCAAAATGGCAGGTCATAGAGAATTGTAGTGGGCTAGCTTGGCATGCATCCCATGACTCTGACACCACATTGTTTTTCCTAGTTATGCTCTAATCTAGTACTGTCCTGGATTTTCAGGGCTGACCTTGGGCAGTAGTTGGCAGCCCCTCCCTCCATTTCTGAGCATCAGTCTCCTTCCCTCTCTTTCTTTGTCTCCCTCCTTAGGACTCAGTGGCCTGGAGTGCAAAGCAAAGTCTGTCTTTGGCACTTTCTCATTTCCCCTTTCAATGCTCCCTTTTTGCCACTCAGAGTCAATGAATTTACTTATTTATTCATTGATTCGTATGTTTGTTTTCCTCTCCAGCTGAATGTTTAGAGCTAGGAAGACCTAGATCCTAGATTTTAATCTTGCCTCAGATACAAAGTAGCTGTGTGACCCTGGGCAAGTCACTTGAGGAAACTGAGGCTCAGTAAAGTGATGATAATAATAGCACCGACCCCACAGGGTTGCTGTGAAGTTCAAATAAGATAATGCATGTAAAGAACTGTATTGATGTGGGCTATTATTATTATCTAGCCTAGGTTGCTTGTTCTTGCCTGTTTTGTTATCTCTTAATAGCCCCAAAACGGTGCAAAGACAGATCATTATTCTTTTTAAAAGAACTGCTAAAAATACCTATATACTGTGTAGTGCTTTCCTATTCCTGGCTTATGTCTAACTTGACAGAAAAGGACACATGTACCCTCAGTTTCCCCATCTGTAAAGTGGGAATAATAATCCTATTTTTATCTGCCTCACATGGCCCTTGTAAACAGTGACTTATAACACTCCAAAGCATGTAAATGGAAATAGTTCTTATTTATGGAACAGGCCTGTGTTTTAATCAGTTCAGGGAGCTCTCAGTGACTCTACTAGTATAAATCAGCACCTTCTTTGCAATCGTATAGTCTGAAGAGAGTTGCCTGGTAATAAAAGGTCAAAGGACTTACCCAGGATCATCTGGCCAGTAGGTATCACAGGAAAGATGAATCCATGTCTTCCTGGATTCCTGATGCCAAGACCAGCTCCTGTCCTCCATGCTGAATGGTCTCTCAATGTATCGTTACTATTTTGCACAAATATGACCATCTCTGGGACATCTCTATAGCAAGATTGAGGTGTAGCAGTGCTGATTTAAACACTTCTTAGCTGGATGCCCTGTCTCAAGTTACTTAATCTCTCAGTCTTAGTTTCTTCATCTGGAAAATGGCAATAAGATTTTTACTACCTTCCTCATAGGAGTACAGTGAGGAAGGTACTTGGTAAATATGACTTTACCACACTGTACAAAGTATTTCAGAAATCTGAATGCAGATTTGAGCTATGAAGGCTTAATGGGTTCACTAAAATGCCATCCTTACCTGAGCAAGAAACTAAAGGGTTACCCAGGATATTGGATACATAGGACTACTGCCATTGCCAAAACAGAAAATTCTTCATTTTCACAAAAGTATGGCAGAATGAGAAGAACCTTGTACTTGGAAAGACTCAAGAGCTCTAATTCAGTGACCAAATATGATTCTAGAGGAGCACTGATAGGACCCGCCCCTGATCGAGATATAGATACAAGATGCGGAGGCACACATTTTTAAACATGGTCAGTGTGGGCATTTGTTTTGCTTGATTGCGTATATTTGCTAGGAAGGTTTTGTTTTTCCTTTAAATTAGAGAGTGAGGTAAGAGGAGAGAAAATAAACCCATATTGATCGAAAGATTTTTTAAATGACCTTGTAAATTGACTTTCCACATCCCAAGAAAAAGGAATAGTTATCCCTTCCACATTGGGACTTTTCCCATCATAGTTTTGATATATCGAAGTTTGGCATAAGAAATTACATGGGACTTTGGAGGGAATTTGTGGAAGTCACAGATGACATATGAAAGCTAGCAGACAACAAAGAAAAAGTTTAGCAACTCAGGAATGTAAAATATGTATATATAGTTTCACAATATCAACATTTTACCTTTTAATACCATAATTTAGATGTCTTCCCTGGTACAAAGGAGGGCCAAAAAATTTTACACACATTTTCCAAATTGTTCGGGCTCCAGGCCCCTAACCTCTGCTATGTGGAAGGGCTAACATAATTGATTCTTCTATTCAGGGAGAGGGAAAGACTTGCCTTTCCCACCTGTTCCCACATGGCAGGGAAAGGGGTATCTAATTCCCGCTAGGAGAATTGTTGCAAATATACGCACACAAATCAGGACACCAGTAAACGTAATGTGAGAACCCTGGTAACCTAGAGACAGACAGACGACTACTGCTGCTGCTAAGGGGTGGACTACAAACATTTTGCAGCACCCTGGACACTATTCATTTAATGGAGGCATGACTAGCTAAAGGACTGCTCATTTGCTGCCACCTGGTGTTCAATTTCCCCCACCCTTTCTTCCAAGCCTTGAGAATCGAAAGAAATCTTTCCCTCCTAGTCCCTTCAGGAGAGGCTGCAGTCACAGAAAAGCTTATGGTTCAGTGTGAGGGCTCTGAAAATTTTTGTTGTTTAGTCATTTCAGTCATGTCTGACGCCTCATGGCCCCTTTTTGGGATTTTCTTGGCAGATAGGATGGGCTGGGGAATATTTAGAGAGGTCTTCATTCTAACCTCCCCAAGATCTCTCCACCTTTGGTCTAGATCCCCCACAGAGCCTTCCTTTTAGCTCATATTCCTCTGAATTAAGGAGGAAAAAAGGTGAAGGACTTGCATGTACTGTTTGCAGAAAGAAGGCAAGGCTTACCAAAGGAGATGTTGGACTTTACTAACAGTATTTTTTGAAAATACAAACTCTCTAGGCCTCAGTGTGCTCCTGTGTAAAATGAGAGAGCTGGACTACAGAATATCAAGGTCCCTTCCAGCTCTAAATTGACACAACACAAGGAATTAATCTAATGGTGGGAAATTTGGGATTGGAGGGGAAAGAAGGAAAACAACTTAGAGGTGAACACCCACTCTGTCTAGAAAGATGTCTGGTCCTATTAGCCCATCTCCAACCATTCAGGCCTCCCAAAGGTCTGTCAATGTTGCCCTCCATCATAGCATTTTTAGAGCTTCAAAGAACCCCATCTAAACCAGCTCCCTCATTTTATGTATGAAGAATCTGAGTTTGGCATCAAACCCTAGGGGAAGCATAGATTTAGGGTTGGAAGTGACCTTAGAAGCCATCTGTAGTTCCTGTACTATTTTACAGAGGAGTAACTGAGACCCAGATATGTTAAACTTGCCTGAGGTACCCAGGAATAAGTGGCTAAGGATTTGAATCCAAGTCTTCTCTTTCCATTGCACCATACTCCTTTTCCCATCACCAAAATAATGAGCTGATTTTGACTCAGTTTTGTTCTTTTCCATTGGTTGTTCAGGAGTGGTACAGTTATAATCTGGTAAAATGTGGCCAAACGTGGCATCAAGTGGCTATTTGCATGGTTAGTAGTGCACTGTATTAGGTGGTGAGGCTTTTGGCTCCCAGAAACAATGTTGCTTGAATAGATCTCTCTGCATATTTTGTTTTAACCTTGTATATAAGAGGCATCTAGTAAATTTATGTTGAATATTTGAATGTTGAATTTTTGTTCCAGTCTAGCCTTTGTAAGCTGCTGATTGTACTCCTATATGGAAATATGAAAAGTCTAAATCAAGGAACGTCAGTGTTTTCTCCATCCTTGCAGGGCTAAGGGTAAGTGAAGACAGCTCCTTAGTTTGAAGCAAAGCTGCTATTTTCAGCTCTGCAGCTTCTCATGGACTTTGAAACCCTCTTTCTGACAAGTCTTGGTGACTTGCTGAAGGACAGCACCACCCTCTTTGATTGCTGGCCCCCAGGGTGGGTCTGTCCACTGCTGTTTCTCAATAGGCCAGCCCTAGTGTTCCAGGCTTATTAACACGCTATTTTTACACCATACAATGTGCTGTAATCTTTCCAGATGTTCAGTTCCTTCTCACCAAAGGAACTAATCTGTTGTGGTCCAATAGACAATTGAGCCACCCATAAGCAAGAGCTTAAGGGGAATACATCTCTTAAATTATCTTTCCTCAGTCTCTCAGGTCAATGATACCTTATTTAAAATTTTCCCCCCAGTCTTTTGACTTAGTGTGGATATTTTTGAGTTGTCTCATGGAGTTATTAAGTCCATTCTAATTTTCAGGGAGAGCCTGCTCCTTGAGTAAGGTTTTTGGTTTTTTGTTTTTATTAAGCTATTCTCTTTCCAATTCTTTCTCCCCTCTCATTTGTTTTCCATTTTTTTCTTGTAGAATTCTCATTTCACTAACAAAATCACATTAACCCTCTTCCCAGTCTTCTCTTAATTTTTGCTAGATCTTCTCACTGAATTTGTATTCTAGTTGTGTTTTTTCCCTGAGGCATTGCTTATAGATAATATGGAGTCATTCTCTTTCTGGGTTTGTGTTTGGAATGCCGCTGAAGACCCAAGTTCAAATCTGGCCTCAGACACTTACTAGCTATGTGACCTTAGGCAAGTCACTTAACCTGAAATACCTCAGTTTCTTTCTCCAAAGTAGGGATAATAATAGTACTTGCCTCCAAAAGTTGTTGTGAGGATTAAATGAAATAATTATACAGCACAACAGTGCCTGGTATATAGTAAACACTATGTAAATGTTAGTGATGATGATGATGATGATGATGATGATGGGACTTCTTTGTTTTTGTTCATTGTCCAGACTTGGTACTTGATTTAAGGGCTGGGCTCTACTCCCTTCTGGAGGGGACGTGTGGGCTGGTCCTGCTTCTTAGGGAAATGAGTGTTATTTCAGGATCTCAAGGATAGCGCAGACTGGGAAACCTGTAAGTTTTCATTGTTCCCGAAACGGTTTGATCCAGGGCAAAGACTAATTGTTGCCTTTTTGGTCAGAACTCTCCGAGTTCCTGAACTGGGTTTGGCTCTGAGCAACACAACTGTAAGCCTTCTCATGGCAGTAGTTCCAGTATACTACTGCTGGGCTCAGCCACTATTAGCCAGCTGCAAATCTCTGCAGGTTGAATGTCAGAATTGTAGGCTCCTCTTTGGCCTAAAATTCCTGTCATGATAACTACACTGCAGGCTTGAGGCTGGAGTGGGTGTTGGAAAAGAGATTCTGACTCCACTCCTAGGGTCAGAGCCATACAGCCATTACTTAGTTTTAACTTGCTCCTCATTCAGTATAGTGAAAGGTCTTCTGATCACTCCTCATCATAGACCATTACTCTTAGACCTGTGTCCTCTCCTTAGTGCCCCCGTGGACTGTAATCCAACACTAGCCAATGAAAGACAAAGCTGCCAGTTGGCACACATGTGTATCTGGAACCTCATCTTGCCCTGGTGCACCGCCACAAACAGGCCTTTCTTCAGCCTTGAGCTAGAAGCCTCAGCTCAGCCCCTTCTGGCTACACATAGTCTCCATTGTCCACAGGCCTGTCTCCCAAAGCTGACCTGGGATGGGAAAAAAAGACTAATTTTTTTTCTTGGATTTCTCAACCAGGACTCAGTCTGTTATATTTTCTAGATATTTGTTAAGAGTTACAGGGAAGACCTCAGGTGTGCTACTTCTTGCTACTTTACCATCTTGGCTATTCTCCATCTAGTTTTATGATGACTGTATTTGTAGATAAGGAAAGTGATGATGTAGACTAGAAACAGGTTCCAATATAATTTCCCTGTAACTCACTGATTCTGAACACAAGCACCTTGAGCCCTCTGAGATTTAGTTGATTCTAGCCATCAACATAACCCAAACCCATTGATGATCAGCTTGGACTCTTCCTTAGCAAGGTTGCCCTTACTTTTCTCTTTCTTCATAATGTGTGTACTACAGAGTCAGTCAGGCTTGCTTTATCTTCTGCTTTCTAAGCAAATGGCAACTTTGACGGTAGGAAATCTCCAGGGTGAACATAGCCCATTCCTCCCCCCACCTCAGAAGCTCTCTCTGCCCAGGTTGCTCCCCTTCTTGGGCGGCCAACTAAGAAACTTGCATGCTAGATAGCAGGATCCTTACTGTTCTGTAGTAGTTGTGGAAGCTTCCTTGCACGCAGATTTTTTTTCCTTAGGCTGGATTGCAGAAGCAGGGTAAGAGATTTTTTTAATACTTGCATTAAATTCCCAAAGATCCTAAACAAAACAAACACTGAAACTTCAGTTACACATCAAGAATAGATTTTCTTTCCTCCTTAACATAGGTTATGACAGTTCTCACAATATCGTTCTGAAGATACCTTGATTTGTTGAAATGTAAATAAATAGTGCAATCCTACACTCCTCACTCAAGTTATTCTAGGGATAAACAGACACAGGGAATTTTCATTCTCCTTTTGTAAAATTTTAAAAGAACACCAAAATATTCAGGTTAGGAAGTATTCTGAGATGAGCCTG